AAAACATAAAATAGTATTTGTGAAGGGTATGCTTCTTAATTCAAGCAGATACGCGAGACTAAATGGGTGGCTCCTGTCCAGAGGCAGGATGAGAAGGCAGAAGGGGACAGAAGCTGGTTGACTGGACATAGGAAACCTGGATGGAAAGGGGGAGTGTGCTATCACATTATAGGGATTGCAACTAGTGTCACATAATATATGTATAAATTTTTGTATGAGAAATTAACTTGAGCTGTAAACTTTCACCTAAAGCACAGTAAAAAATAATAATAAATAAAGACTTAAAAAAAAATTTCTTCCACTATCTCTTTCTTCTAGAACTAGCTGATCTGTTAATCTTAGTATTTCCCTGTAATGTCTGATTGTCCTTGAGGTCTGGGGTTCTTTAGTTGATCACAGCTATTCTGAATAAATTCCTCCTCTTATTCCCATCACCTGCACTGACTTTTATAAACAAAAATTTAAAACTACAGAAGAAAAAACAAGGTGGCTCATGGGTGGCACAAACAGTTAAGCACGTGACTAACAGCCGAAAGGTTGGCGGTTCGAATACACCCAGAGGCACCTAGGAAGACGGGCTACCTGCTTCTGAAAGATCACAGCCTTGAAAACCCTATGGAGCAGTTGCACTCTGCACACATAGGTGCCAGAAGTCAGAACTGACTCAACGGCAACTAACACCACCACCACCACCACCACCACCACCATCCCCATGGGAAATAACTTTATTAACTACAGTACAGTGCTCTCATACTGTTCCTTTTGTCTTTAGTCTTACAGATTCCACTCATTTCCAAACTTGCTTAGGTTAGCACCTTACTCTCCCATCCTCATCAGTGTTTCATACATTTCTAATACATTAAATTCTTCTGTCACATTCTGCATTTCATCCTGAGTCCCCCAACCTCCTAAATGATTTTTTTTAATTTGCACACATTAAGCTTCATTCTTTCTGCCGAAAAGTTCTATAGGTTTTGGTAAAAGATTTATGTCTTGTATTCACCATTACAGTATCATACAGAATAGTTTCATTATCCTATAAAAATCTCCTGTGCTTCACCTATTCAACCGTCTCTTTCCTCCTCTACCGCAAACTTCTGGCAACCACTGATCTTTTCACCATCTCTATAGTTTTGCCTTTTCCATTATGTCATATAACTGGACTCAATACAGAAGGTAGCTTTTTCAGACTGGCTTCTTCCACTTAGCAATATGCATTTAAGATTTACCCATGTCTTTTTATGGCTGGATAGCTCATTTGTATTGATCGCAGACTAAAATTCAGCCTGACCTGCTTTTCACTCTATATTCATACTCTTCTTGTGTGATCTCATTAATTCCTATGACATCAATTACCACCTATTTGTCAATAAATCCCAAATTTATGTCACCAGTTCTCACTGTTTGAGTTTCAAAGTTACTTTGGAGCTCAAACTACTGACTGGACATCTTCCCCTAGGCACTAAAACTCAACCTAGAATATCAGGTAACCTTTTTTATTTGCTTAGTTAGAGCTAGCCACTGGCAATAACTTTATATGCAATATCTCACTTAATCTTCACAACATTAGATATTATTTAGATATTATTTTTAATTCTTTCTCCAGCACAGATTGTGAATTCTCCAGTGGCAGGGAATGTCTTCTCTTCACCATTATAGTTCTTGCCCACGATAAATGCTTGTTAGCAGTCAAAAGAACTAGGAATGAACTCCTTTACTTCAAATGTTACCCTAGGCCAGAAGTTTTCAAATGCAGCCCACAAAATCCTGGGATTTCCAAAGATCCTTTCAAAGGATCAATAAATCATAATAATATTAAGCTGTTATTTGCTTTTTTGTCTATATTGACATTTAAACTGATGTTACAAAAACAATGTGGGGGGAGGGGTAAAAACGCTGGCTCCTTAGCATGAATCAAGGAAATGGCTCCAAATTATACTAATAATTCATAGTATTTTTTCACTGCCATGTACTCATGGAAAAAATAAATAGTAAGAAAAAAATCAAAGTCACTTAAGAGTGTCCTTGATGATGCAGTAAAATTATTCGTTTTATTAAATTTGAGCCTTGAGTACACAGCTTTTTAATATTCTCTCTGACAAAATGCTAAGTACACATAAAGACCTTTTGTTGCATACCAAAATAAAATGGATGACTTATGAAATAGCACCAGCACAACTGTCTGAGTTGTGAGCTAGACTAGGCATTTTTCATGGAACATCAGTTTTACCTGACTGACAATCTATGCATATTTAGACTTATGTTTATGGCAGATATTTTCTCAAAAATGAACAAAGTGAGTCTATCACTTCAAGGAAAACAACCGACATTTGTTGCCAATGATAAAATTCAAGCTTTCAAGTGAAAATCAGAATTTTTGAAAATTTGAACCCATCACATATCTTTTACAAATTCCCAATACTTAAAGGCTTTTCTGATGATACTGGAAGGAATATTGACAAGTGTGATTTTTTTATATTACTTATTGAACATCTATATGAGTCAGTGAACCGATAATTTCCAAATGACCAATGCATATTACAAAAGCATGCATGGGTAAAAGATCCATCCAAAGTCTAAGACAGAACAATGGATATTATATAAAAGTGTGCAATGAGTTCATCGACATGGCTGCAATTTCACATTGCAACTTTTAAGAAACTACTACTTGTAGAGTTTTGAAGTAACATCAAAGGAGAGTATTCACAATTATCTGAAAAGACTATTAAAATATTTGTCCATTTACCAACTACATGTCTGCATGAAGCTGGATTTTATTCATATACTTCAAGTAAAACAACATATTATAACATATTCAAATCAGAAGCAAATATGAGAATCCAACTGTCTTCTATTAAGCTAGATATTAAAAAGATTTGTAAAAATGTAAAACACTGCCACTCTAAAGTGTATTTTCCAAAACCAACAAGAAAAATTTTTTAAGAAAGTATATTTAACAGATAATAACTTGAATTATTTTATTTTTAAATATATATATTTTTTAATTTCATAATACAGTAGATGTCAACGGACATAACCCACATAAAAAAAGCTCTTTGGAGTCCTCAAAACTTAACGTTTTCAAGAATGTTAAGGAATTCTGAGACTAAAAGCTTAAGAACTGCAATTATGTACAAATCACCTAACTTACCTGGACTTGGGTTTTCATGTCTGTGCAATAGGTATAATTCTTGCACTAACTAATACAAAGGATTGTAAAGATGAAATGACAATATATAGAAAAATTCTATGTAAACTGGAAAACCCTAAGAAAATAAAAGGGTCACTAAATCCATTTATTCTCCATACAAGGGTAAAGAAACTGAATTCTAGAGAAGTCACTTGATAAAATTTTATTAGAAACACAGAATAATTTAGAGTCCACATAGCAGAGTTAAAGAATATTAAATAAACAAAATTGGCCAGAGGGGAAGGTCCATAAAGTGGGGTAGAACGGGTATTTAGAACGAGAGTTTAGACTCTATTATATAGCTAATGATGAGCCACTCAGGACAAGGGAAGAGATAATTAATGTAGCATTTTTTGGAAATTAATCTGACTGGTGTATAAACCCATCGCCACTGAGTTGATTCCTACTCATAGCGACCCTATAGGACAGAGTAGAACTGTCCTGTAGGGTTTTCCAAGGAGTGGCTGGTGGATTCGAACTGCCGACCTTTTCGTTAGCAGCCAAGCTCTTAACCACAATGTCATCACGGCTCCGACTGGTGTATAGGATGGAATAAAATGGAGAATGTGCAGGATTTAAGGAGAACAGTGCAACAGCTGAGGGTCTTGATTAGAACTTTAGAATAATCAGGGAACTCAGAAATAATCTAATCTAATACCTTCACTTTATACACACTGTAAGTTATTCTTACTACCAAAGATTAGTAGATATGGCCCCACCATCTTTGCTCTCCTAATGATGCCAGTTAACATGTACATTTTTGCTTAGCCATTTTTTTTCAGTATGTTTTTGAGTCTTGAATTTTTTTGAAGATTTTCTGGGAGGCAAAGGAGGAGGAGCGACTACTTAGAACAAGTTTAAAGAAGTAAGACAAGGAATCAATAAGACCTCTTAAACACTCCAAGTCTAAACATTCTCTTAGACTTAACTATGGGGATTCTAAAGATATCTTTTGTCCTTTTGCTCTTTTATCATTTGCATTGTTTTTCAGAGATTATTTGGCTTTATCTGCACACTATCTCCAGGGTAAAGCAACTAGAAAATAGCTGAGAGTTGACACTGAATGCCTCCCTATACCATTCAAAATTTAACTGCATTTCTGGAACCAGAAAAAGAATAGTTATGATCATTTAAAATCCTAGGAAATGGCTGTGCGTTAGAATTTGGCATTTACATTTTGAACTGCTTAATCATTCCTTTTATAGACTAGCTGAAGGTTATTTTGTCTCTCTGGTATTTTCTTATGTCTCAGCTGCCTTCCTCTGTCATCCAGGGCTAAGTTTCAAGGTTGAAATACATTATGATAATCACAGCCAATGAAAGACATCCCGATTCCAAATTCTCCATAACTTCATGCTTTTCCCATCAATTTCACTTCAGTTAGAAGGCCAGTTAAAGGAAGAATGTATGAATAAATCTCAGCTTACAAGTTCTATTGCCATCATTACCTTACATAAGGCTTTTTATTAAATTTGCCATCTTCACAGCACATTATACTTTGTAAAGATGGTATATACATAAACATCTTCAGAAATTAAGTGACTCCACATTAGGAAGCTGAACTTTCTGAAATAAAGATTACACATGCTTTACTTAAAGAGGAGCCCTGGTGACACAGTGGATAAGAGCTCAGCTGCTAACCAAAATGTCAGCAGTTTGAATCCACCAGCCATTTCATGGAAACTCTATGGGGGAGTTCTACTTTGTCCTGTAGGGTCACTATCAGTTGGAATCAACTGGATGGCAACAGGTTTGATTTTGGTTTACTTAAAGGAGGTATTTTCCATATTTCACCTTGAATATTACTTACATTTATATTTACTTATATTTCTTCAATCACTTCTCTCCCAAAACTAATGAAGAAAAATAATGGAAATATAAATTATTTTTATTATTAAACCACCACCAACTAGAGCATCACATTAGAAACCATGACTAATAGCCAAGCCAAGTCCCAGGTCTGACGCTTATAGTATCTGACATTAAGTACATCACAGTTTATTTGGTCTTGGCTTTTTTGTGTGTAAAATGAAGTGACTAGACATGATGATTGGTAAATTCTCTTAAATAAATTTCAACAATTCAAACTTTTTAATTGCTATTGCTGACATTTTCCCAAAGAACACAGGTTCTTTTTGAAAACATTACTGGAATAAAGGGTCTATGGAATCACAGTAAATCACAAAGGAAGAGTAGTGCAAATGATAGATACAAACATTTGGATTAATAAAAGGTTAGAATCGTAACAAAAGCTTTCCCTTTGATTATGTACTAACCAACTTTCCTTTGCCAGGTTCTCTGTAAAACCCAGCCTGCCTCAGGAATTCCTATGCTAACTACCTCTTCTAGGTTCCCACAGCAAGTTCCCATTCTATGTATGCCCTCTACCAAAGCACTTCGACCAGATTATGAACTCCTTCTTCCTTATTCATACTTGTAAACTGGGTTATAACAGATGCCAATTGGATTATGCATCTAGGCTTTTACAAGTACTTCCCCATCTCAACTCAAGGGGGACCGGAAAGCAGTCACAAAATAGTAGAAAAGGGAGCCTTGCTCTCTTGGATTCTACTCTTAAATCGTGTGTATACAAGCCTGGAATATTTATCAGTTTGTAAACTCTGAGTAGGAAGACTGGATCTTATTTGGTTCAGTCCTGGTAATTAGCAAGTGTTAGGAATATATATATTAGCTGCTTAACAAATGTTTGTTGAGTATGGAATGAATAAAACTTGAGAAATAACATGACATAGCTTAACTTTTCAGGCATATCAATGGTTATTCAGCAGAATGAATGAAAAAAATGGCTTTTTTAACGTAAGCTTTCATTTGGTAAACAATTTGAAGTGACAGAAAAGAGCACAGGTGTAATCAGACACACCTGTGGCTTAATCGCTTGTGCCTCCATGCCCTCATTGATAAAACTGGAACAAAACTTAGCTTATAGGGTAGGGTTGCTATAAGATTATAGATAATGTATGGAAAACATCTATTAGTCCCTGCCCCTTGGTAGGAGCTCAATAAATATATGGCAATACTATGTAACTTATTCTTCAGTATAACTTAATAGAGATAAAACTCTTCCTTGCTTTATTTTCAACATAACATTTTGTATTTAAGTCCCTTCTGATCACACTCCAGCTAATAAATTTCAGTTTTGTATGCTTCTCCCAAATATTAGCTTCATTACAAAGTTCTACTATGAGAAAAAAACTTCCATATTAACAGCAGAGAAAAATCAGTTTTGATATTTCATTGCTTTTCTGAAGTCCTAGAACAGTAATAATATTTATGACACCAAGCACTGAGGTTTATGAAGAGGTAAATAGCTTTTGTGGCTGATTAAGCATCTCTTTCATTTCGCATATTTTGGTACCATAGGCATTGCCCCTTAATTAAATGCTTGTTAATGTTACACAAGGACCCTTTCTGGTCCTGCACCTTTCAACAAATGTTAGAATGAAAACAAAAAAAAAAAACCTAAGTTATTGGAGGAGATGCTATAATACTAAAACTTCTACTCAAAGCTGGGTCAACAAGATGACATCATACAAAAGCTTCACAGTTTATAAAACACACACACGCACAAAATCCAGAAAAAGTTGTCCTTTGGAAAGCTATTAAATTCATTTGAAATGTCTGAGTTTGGGGAGTACAAGTAAAGCCACTAATATCAGATGAAAGGAAGAGAATGCTCCTTTTCCAATTTTGTTGGAAATGAAATAATTTGAAATAAAGGAATTTTTATAATTTCATTTGATATTAATATTCTAGCTTTAGAGTGATAAAAGATCAGAAAGGCACAATTTTGTATCATTACCAAAGATGAAAATATCTTCTTTCATTTATGGGAGTTTTATACCAGAGCAACTGTCTTAGTTATCTAGTGCTGCTATAACAGAAATACCACAAGTGGATAGCTTTAACAAACAGAAATTAATTTTCTCACAGTTGAAGAGGCTAGAAGTATGAACTCAGGGCACCAGCTCTAGGGAAAGGCTTTCTCTCTCTGTCTGCTCTAGAGGAAGGTCTTTGTCTCTTCAGCTTCTGCTTCCTGGTTCCTTGGAGATCTCCACTGTGTCTTGGCATCTATCATGGACCAAATTATGTCCCCCCGAAAAAAGTGTGTATCCCTTTGGCTGGGCCATGATTCCCAGTATCGCGTGGCTGTCCTTCATTCTGTGATGGTAATTTTTTGTTAAAGAGGATTAGGGTGGGATTGTATAACATCTGTACTAATGTCACATCCCTGATCCAACGTAAAGGGAGTTTCCCTAGGGTGTGGCCTGCACCACATTTTATCTTACAAGAGATAAAAGGAAAGAGAGGCAAGCAGAGAATAGGGAAACTCATACCACCAAGAAAGCAGCGCCTGGAGCAGAGTGTGTCCTTTGGACCGGAGGTTCCTGTGCAGAGAAGTTCCCAGACCAAGGGAAGACTGATGACATGGACCTTCCACCAGAGTTGACAGAGAAAGCACTCCCCTGGAGCTGACGCCCTGAATCTGGACTTGTAGCCTACTGGACTGTGAGAAAATAAACTTCCCTTTGTTAAAGCCATCCACTTGTGGTATTTGTTATAGCAGCACTAGACAACTAAGACAGCATCTATCTTCCCTACCCATCTCTCTCTGCTCTCTTCTTTAATCCTTTTTATATTGCAAGAGATTGAAGATACACTTTACAATAATACTGCCTCATTAATAGAACAAAGACAATCCATTCCCAAATGAGTTTACAACCACAGGTATGAAAAAAGAAAAAAAAAAAACCAAACCTGTTGCCATCGAGTCAATTCCAACTCATAGTGACCCTAAAGGACAGAGTAGAACTGCCTCACAGGGTTTCCAAGGAGCAGCTGGTGGATTTGAACTGCCAACCTTTTGGTTAACAGTCGAGCTCTTAACCACTGCACTACCAGAGCTCCTACCACAGGAATAGAGGTTAAGATTTACAACATATGTTTTGGGGGGACATATTTCAATCCATAACAGCAAGATAAAAGAAAAGTTGAAGAAACCTTTGAAACCCCTGACAAATTATCCTCAAGGCTTTGCAGTTCATAGACAGTTCAGCTGCCCCCACTACTTTTGACTGTCCTAATTCAAGCAGTAAGTGGCAAATCTGTACTTCTGCACAAATAGGAAGAACAACAGAGAAGGCTGCCACAAGTTATAATTTATGATAGAACATGAGTTTTTCAGCTAGGAAAAAAAAAAAAAAAAGGAAACATTTATGGCTCCAGAAAAGCAACAATCTACATGTTCTGAGTGGTAAAATATAGGATATGCTGTACTTATGAAATTGAGCAGCTGATCACAGATTGAAAACGATACTGACATGCAAATGAAATGGTGTAATACAGCAAAGGAAGTTGACCCACATGAGATAAATGGTCACTTATACTAGTTTCTGGAGCCCTGGTAGCGCAGTGGTTAAGTGTTTGCTAACCAAAAGGTTGGCAGTTTGAATCCACTAGCCGCTCCTAGGAAACCCTATGGGGCAGTTAGTTCTACTCTGTCCTATAAGGTTGCTATCAGTTGGAACTGACTCGACAGCAATGGGTTTGATTTGGGTATACCAGTTTCTACTACCCAAATATCCTCAAACCCCATCTCCTATTTAACTTAGCAAAAAAGCCTGGAAAAATAACTTTTTCTGATCTGTGAGTTAAATACTAAATTGTATTTACAGGTACTCACAACTAATTTGCTCTTGTATATTTTGGATTTGCCACAAAAACCTACCAACTTGCTTTATATACAACCACCTTTGTTATTCATACTAATGGGAGGGGACACATTGGTTGAGTAATCCAAAACATTAAAAAATCGAAATTTTATACATCCAAATAGGATGAATAATGAACTCTAAGCCACAATATATGAAGAACTAGTGTGATTTTTCCTGAAGAAAAACTAGTTATGGAGGATATAATGGCTGTCTTCAAATATATGAGTTCTCCTACCACAAACAGTGCTAAGAACAAATGCCAGTGGAAGAAAGTTATAAGGAGGCAGGTTTCAGCTCACTGTATGGAAAACAATATGTTATATACAAGTTGTAGAGAATGCTTAGAAAACAAATGAAATTGAACAGACAGGTGGTTGGACTAAAACTAAATGACCTCTAAAGCCTCTTTCAATCCTTGATTTTATGACTTTGAAGTATATATTTAAACTTAAGATTAAATCCAAACGTTTTCTCAGGAGTTCATAAAATCACACAGTCCTAACTGTAGGATATGGGGATCAGGGTACAGAGGAGAATGCTGACCCTGAACCATGCCTAGAACTAGACTGGAGACGTAGGTACACAGGAGTCAATCTATGCAGGACAATATAGGCCATGTTGGGGTTGAGCGTGTAGCCTAAGATCATTACAAAACCACAGAAAAGTTTTTGCATACAGGGGCATATTGATCAGATTTGGAGTTTTAAAAGATCAGTGGATACTGGGCAAAAACGGATTTTCAAGTTATCGACGTAGGAGCAGAGATACCATTTAAATAGGTTATTATGATAATAGCCAAAACACGACCTTGAGTATACCTCACCTGAATTTAGAGACCATCTCAAGAATAGATTTGACACACTGAACACTAATAACTGAAGATCAGATGAGTTATGTGATGACATCATACTTGAAGAAAACAAAAGGTCATTAAAAAGACAGGAAAGAAAAGACCAAAATGGATGTCAGAAGAGACTCTGAAACTTGCTCTTGAACATAGAGTAGCTAAAGTGAATGGAAGAAATGATGAAGTAAA